AAAAAAATTCACAAAGTGTCATTATTGTCTAACAGAGTTAACTCCGTTAATCACTAGGGCTTAATCATGACACATGTGGACACGTGTTAGTTAGTTATTGGTTTAAAAAAACAAAAAAAAAAACTCTAAATATTAACCCAACCCAGCCGCACTACAAACCACCAGCCAAAGCCAATCGACAGCCCAAAGCCAACCGCCGGAACCCCCTAACCTCCCGTCGAAATCCGCTGGAACCCCCTAACCTCCCTCTTGAACCCATTGACCCCACCAAAACCCCAGCCCCCGCAACCACCTCACGCACCAACACGACGCATCATCATAGCCACCGAAATCGACCATGGAAACCCTAAATAGAACTCGACTATGGAAATCCTTCACCCTCAAACGGCTGAAATCGACCATGGAAATCCAGAATGGTTGATTTCTATGGCCGATTTCGTCGTTTCAAGGTTGGAGGATAGGAGTGGTTTTGCGCGGTGGTTATGTTGTTCATCAAAGCTCGTGCTCGCTGTTTGTTTTTGGGGTTGGGGCAGCTTGTGTGGGTGGTTTTGGGGGTCGGTGGTGGGTCAGGTGGGGTGTTAAAGGGTCGTCCGGTCGTTTTTTGGTGGTTAAGGGTTTGGCTGGCCGTTTTCCGACGAGATAGGGGGAGGGGCTAGGGTTTTGGCGATGGTGGGGGTGGCTGGGTTCATTTTGGGGTTTTTTTAAATTTTTTTTTTGTTTTAATTTTTATTAATTAAGATAAATGGACCAATTATATCATGACATGTGTCATAATTGACCCCTAATAACAAACGGAGCTACGACCGTTGGTCACTAATGGCACTCGGTGAATTTTTAAAAAATTGGGTGACATTTAGTGAATTCTGAAAAGTCTTATGGCATTAGGTGAATTTTTAAAGTGCTCAGTGGCATTTGGTGAAATAACCGTCAAAATATTACATTTCTCTCCTTTTATGGTCCCCACCCAAACCCACTATTACTTTTTTTTATTATATCTTTCCTCTCTCATTCATTACTTTTCAATAAACTATTAACCATACTATTTTTCTTTTACAAGTTTTTAATACTTCAACTATCGCAATTATCTCTTATTTTATTTAAGTCAATTAAATTGGCTAAAACTATGTGCCGTTCAAAGTATAACACTTAAAAAACACGGAAGGAGTAATAATAATAATAGAAAGATGAACGTAGTGCGGCTATAAAAAGGGGACCTCAGCTATGTTTAATATACAACACAAAGCAAATACAATAAAAGAAACATCAAATAAAAAATTCTAAGCAAGCTAGCCAGCAAGCTAATTAAGATATGGAGATGAAGAAGCAGCAGCTAAGTTGGATGGTGATGGTTGCCTTATTGGTTGCGGTCGCTATAGCCGAACCTGAGCACCACCAAGTTGAACCCTTAACTGCCACCATTTCTTACCAAGTTCCACTTTCTGATGTCATTCAGCTTGGTGGTAACATGAATACCGGCCTCACTTGTCAGCCTAAGGGCTACCCATGCTTAGGTCCATTCTATAGATGCTGCGATCCATGGTTCTGCTCTAACCTCGCCGGAACCTGTGGCTAATTATATTATCCAGCTTTAATCCAATAAAAAACCCAATGCTTATCTTATGCATGTATAGTTAGCATTGGAGATGTAGTCGTCATAAATAAAACATGCAGGAGGTGTTTGGTTGAGATTCTTGAGAATTGGAAATCAAAAGCCCCTAGCTTATTATGTTCCTATGTAATGTGCACTATTTCTGTCTATCAATAACAATACATCTATTATTCCTCTTGCATAATGAAAATTCTAAGGTACAGCAGTCTGTACCTTGTTTGGTATAGACAAAAAAATGCGAAAAGAACATGTATCTATTATTTCTCTTTAATGGATATTCATTTTGTCCGAGAGAAGGTTGCCCGGGGGGAGGTCCGAGTTCTGCATGTCCCATCCCAATATCGGATAGCGGATATCTTCACTAAAGGTCTTCCGCGGGTTTTATTTGAAGAGTTCCGAGACAGTCTTAGCGTCCGTAGCCCTCCCGCTTCGACTGTGGGGGTGTGTTAAATATATGGTACATATTTTTGTATTTAGTCAAAGAGATAATCTTTAGAGAAATTATCTCCCTAGTTTATTGCTTGTATTTAGCGTAACTGATGTAATTAGTTCCTAGGATAATGCTATACTCTTGTATATATTTACTGCCAATAGTAATGTCAAAGCAAGGAAAACTTTCCCAATTCTTTCAGTACAGAACATACAATTATTTTATAATGAACCTATATCAGTTTTTTAAAGAACATTCAATTTTCTGTTTTTTCTTTTATATCTAAAGAACATCTATAACATTAATAAAAACATGATAATATATACTATGTAATGAACATTACTTTTATACACTCATCATAATTTTAAGACAAAATTCAAAAAACGTTTTACAATAAGCAATGAACATTATATCACAAATAAAAGTACATTGAACTGACAATTAAAGAACATGGACGCATGTTCTTTTCACTTTGTTATGGTAAAAATATGTTCTTTGTAATTTAGGTATATGTTCATTATATCTTAAAAGTACGTTCTTTTCACCATAACTGTATGTTCTTAACATGTATATATTATGTTCTTTCTGCGAAACGTCTGTACCATTCAAGGTACCCACGCCTGTAGGATCCATACACTTTATAAAAGAGGTATTTTTATGGTAGTAAAAAATATACTTAATAAAAAGTAGGAAGGTCATTATTATGCAAGACATATCATAGATTAATGATAAGATTTTTATTATTATTGATTTTTTTTTTTTATTTTTTTTTGACGGTATTATTGTTGATTTATAAAGCTATTATTGATTCATATGATCGATAATAAGATTTAATCTATGAAATCAAATTAAAGAGAAATATTAAAGTTATATATCTTGCATTGTAGTCACCGTCAAATTTTGATGTTTGTAGAACTTTTGTTACCGGTGGTACAATACTACAATTATGCAAGCTAGTTACTAGCTTATTACCTTAAATTCAAATTTCATTAAATTTTGCTACCAAAAATTGGCATCCTCAATATAAAACTTAAAATGTACACATTCAATACGGTTTTTGTTTTTTGTTTCCATTTTTTTTTTTGGAAAACAAAAGGCAAAAATGTGAAAACCACAAAAATTAGTTTTACATTTTTTTTATTGTCAGATTTTAATAATATTATTATTATTTTTACTTTTATGGTATAAACAATTTATAGTTAATCATACAACTTACGAAGTATATATTATACTGTTTAGAATAAAAAAATAAAATAAAGAAAGCTAGGATTACACACAAGCCTTAAGATATTTATTGTCAGATTTCAATATTATTATTATTTTTACTTTTATGGTATAAACAATTTATAGTTAATCATACAACTTATATTTATTATACTGTTTAGAATAAAACAAAATAATAATAATAATAATAATAATAATAATAATAATAATAATAATAACGAAAGCTAGGATTACACGAACGATTTCCCATAATATTGTTGAAATAAAAATCAATTCCCATAATACATTGATTTTAAAATAAATTCCCCACATAGTGTCCAAGTAGGATCGTTTTTTTTGCTTTTGGTTCAACTTAAAACCGCTAATGGTAATAGCGGGTTTAAAAAAGAGACGTCTCTAACAATAACAGGTCTCTTTGCGTCCTTGGTTAATTCACAAGGCTTAGTTTGCAAGAAGATTATTTCAAAGAGACCGCCTCTCAATACGACAGATCTCTTTGCGTCCTTGTTAATTCTTAGCCCACAACAAGAAAAGAGAGCACTGACAATTACACTTATAACTTCAAAGAGACCGCCTTTCAATAAAAACAGGTCTCTTTGACTTTATTTTACCAAAATTGCAAAACCGCTAATACCGTTAACAGTTTTAAGCTGAACCGAAAACCAATCCTACGTGGACACTACTTTGGGAATTTATTTTTAAAACGAAGCATAATGGGAATTAATTTCTATTTCAATAATATTAAGGGAAATCGTTCAGGATTACACACAAGCCTTAAGATATTTATTTTGCTTCTTAACTGTTTTAAGTGATTTAAATTATATTCTTCCCCTTTATCTATAATTATTCAATACACATCTAAAATTTAAAATCACTCATTATTTTCTTTATAAAATTTTAATATATTACAAAAGCTATATCTCATGGATAAGGATGTGCCTTGAATCAATTAAAATGGTTAAGAACAATTACAAAATTATAATTTTGCCTTTTTTGGTAATAAAATATAAGGAAATTAGAGTTTTAATTATTACTAACATTATCCAGTGATTGATTTATATGATTAGTTAGGGGGAATTCTACTGTGGTCAGCTTCATTATGACCACCACTAATTTGCCTAATTTTACCTATTTTTTACAATAATTTTTTTTTTCTTTTTCAATCTTCCGAAATTCTTTTTTTTTTTTCCTGATTTCGAAAATATTTTATTGAAATTAGTTTTTAATGAAATACAGAAATAAGATTAAATTACAAAATTCAAAATCAAAGATTGTTCTTCGTTGTTCTTCGAGCTTTTTGAATGTTGTTCCTTCTATGGATGAATTTCACCACCAATTATTGATTTGTGTCCCTTAAGAGTTAATTGTGCATCGATGGATATTCAAAATATGGCCTGCCAGATCTAAACAGCAATTCAAAACTTGAAGATATCCTTCCGAGTTCTAGCAAATTTGGGATTGTTGTTAAATTCTAAAATAATTGTTTTTTATCGTAGAATATTCATCTTTTGATGACAAATTGTTGATTTCATGCAATTGAAATAAAAAATTTTAAGGACACGGATCATTAATTAGTGGTTAAATTCATCTATAGATGAAAAACATTGAAGAAGGTTGAAGAACAACGAAGAACACTGAAGAACACATTTTGATTTTGATTTTTTAAATTTAATCTTATTTTTGGATAAATAAAAGATGTTTTTAACAAAATTATTGAGTTAAGCACACAATTAATTACTCAATTCTTTAAAATTTCACCTTTTAGGTACTCAATTCTTTTTTTCTTTGCTTTTGGGTACTGAGTTAAGAATTCAAGCCAAAAAAATTAAATCAACCAAAGAATTGAGTACCTTGGGTTAAAGAATTTAGTACCCTTGGTTAAGTATGTGGGCCCCACCCGATTAAAAAATTAATATTTATATATAAAAAAAAAATTCTCAATTGCTCATCTCTCTCTCTTTCATACAAGGTGGTGGAAATTTAACGAGTAATTATTTCATTATGTTTGTAATTTTTACCCTATTTCAATCCCTAATTTCGTTCTCTATTTTCTAGGGGTTTTCTCAGATCCTCTGATTTTGATTTTTTCGATCTTCTTGTTTTTTAGGGGAGTAACTCAGCAGAATCTAACTTCATCGACCGATGGAAATCTTCGTCTCAAGGGGAGTTTCTCGGATCGTTTGGATGAATCTGGTACTCCACTTTCTTATGGATGTCATGTACGGAGTATGCAATAATACACACTCAAATGCATAATATACCTTTAACAAAAATCTGTATTTACGTTTTTTTTTTTATCTTATCTGATACCCAACAAACATATAAGAACTTCCTAAATTTTATGAACCTGAAAATTTTCCAATATTTTCAAGCTAAATCTTAGATCACATCTAGTCGCAATGATTTTAACTAAACATCCTTTTTGAGAAAAAAGTCTCCAATCTTATCAATTAGATCACCAAGTTTATACCTACAGCATGTCAATTCGGGTAGATAAATGCTACTGAACAGAAATCGAATCAACTCATAAAAACCAAAAACACATAACTAATCGTAATTCTGGAAAACAATGATGATGAAAACCAGCATGTTTTCATTTCTACTTTGTTTCGCATTGTTTTATCATCAAGTATTATCTGATAATCTTATTGATCAGCAGGATGTCAACTCAAACTCAAAGGTAACATACACTTCGTAAATTCGTAATTATCCAGTAGTTATTGTTAAATGAGTTAGCAGCAACTTAGAGAGTATGACAAAAGATTTTGTTATAACATTGTTGGGGCCCAGATACTTAACCAAGGATACTAAATTCTTTAACCCAAGGTACTCAATTTTTTAGTTGATTTAATTTTTTTTCACTTGAATTTTTAACTCAGTACCCAAAAGCAAAATAAAAATAATTGAGTACCGAAAAGGTGAAATTTTAAAGAATTGAGTACCTAATTGTGTGCTTAACTCAAAATAATTTCAAAAAGAATTAAAAATACTACGTATATAATTTCAGAAAATCAAAAAATAATTTCTGGAAAATAGAAAAGAATTTAAAATAGAAAAAATTTAAAAACAAGCTTTGACTAACTATTTAAGGAAGGAAAAATTAGCCAATCATATTCAAGTAGAGTGATGGTTATAATGAAGCTGACCATATTATTAATATGTTCTCCTTAAAATAATTATATTAAGTAAAAATATGTTAAGTTTAATAAGAATAAGTTATGTTCAGTAAAAATAAGTTATGTTCAATAAAAATAAACTCGGTAATAATAAATTCAGTAAAAAAAAAAAAAAAAAAAAAAAAAAGTCAAGTTCAAGATCACTAAATATAAGATAAGTTTAGATTTGGTAAAAATAAGTTAAGTTCAATAAAAATAAGTTAAGTTAAGTTTGATGTTTTTGGTCATCTATTTTTTTAGAACTAGGTTAGATCCCGTTCGATGCACGGTGATCTTTATATATAGTTATATATTATTGATTGAGAAATATTATAATCATATATTAGTCATAAAATAATAAAAGTATGTGATATATTAATTTGATATTTGCAATTTTAATTGTAGCTTCCAATCTAATATACTTCGTATATATATAAATGGGAGTTTTTTCCCGAGTTTTTGAAGAGCCACATAAGATTTAATTTTCTTTGCGCACTATGTAGGATTGTAAATTTTTGTTGTAGCCAATTAAATAAGAGATTATTAGTTTATTTTAGAATTAAATAATTCAAATGCCACGTAGGAAAAATTGGCGAATGAAATTTTAAATATTATATATTATTATTTAATGTTAGGAGTTTTAACTAAATATATAACAAAATTTAGCACATTAATACAAAAGAAAAAAAAATTATTTTAAAAAAAAAACAAACAAACCGTGCATTGAACGGGCTTCATCTAGTACACAACTAAAACAAAGTAGGCAAAAAATCTGAGCAATATTTTTTTTATTGTAAAATAGGTCTCTAATTATTTTATATATTATTATATTGCCCAATTTTTTTAGAAAGATTTGTGGATGAATCTTTTATTTAAAATATAATAATTATTACGTGTCAATATGGAATATGTACAAAAAAAAATATATTATGATTTTTGTAAATGATTTTGTTTCCTTAATTATTTTTTTTTTTAAAAAAAAAAAACTAAGGACACACCAGAAAATGACACATGTCACTGTTGGTGTGTCTTTTAGTATATAGTATTGATTGATGATTGATTGATTGATTAAAAAAAATATATTTGAGTATATTTAAAGATTTTATAGATACGGTGCTTTAGAAATTTTGTAAAGAACCAAATGAGTTAAAAAAAATATTATACTTATAAGGTAAGTTGTATTTTCTCTCTTTGGTATAATAATCCTTACTTATCAAAAAAAAAAAAAAGTTTAAAAAACCTATGAAGCGGATTATTGCGTTGCTGAAGCGGATTATTCCCTTAATACAAAGCAAAGAGTTTAAACTCTTAATACACCCTCCGTCCCTTAATAAAAACCTTGAAATCCCAGAATTAGATAAGGAGGTTATTGCGTTGCTGAAACGGATTAAGAGGTTCTCAACGACGCAAGACATTGGGGCTCGTGCTGCGGCTCATATCTTTACTAGGGTAGACTTTGTTATAGCTAAAGGAGTGAGGGTCCAGATTGTATCTTGTCAACGTTGTTCGTGACTGTAATCCCCCGTATTTAAAAAAAATATATTATAAATGAATTTTTATTTTATTTATAATATTGATGTGTGTTTTTCCGAGATTTAAGTTTTAAAGTTCCAAATAATTTTTGGGTTGATGATTGATTTTGTTCTAAAAGGATTTTTAATTGTCCATTCTACAATTTATGCCATATATATTAAACAAAGCTAGCCCATTTCATTTGCCTAATTGGCCCATTAATTTTATGAGGCCCAATCTTAAAACTAACCCTACACCACTCTATCTCCTATAAATAGCTCATACATCCCCAAAATTTTCCCCACACAAAAGGTTAGTCTTATTTTACCTCCTCTTTATTTTCTTTATTTTATTTTTCCTTTATTTTCTTTTTCCTTTTTTTTTTCTTTCTTTTCTTTTTTCTCCTCCTTCCTACGTGAGCCATGCTCACAACTTACCCCTGTTGCCGCCACCTGTTGGCTGCTTCCGCCCCCCTGCCGCCGCCGTCGGCGACCCTGCCAGCCCAGCAGCTGGCCCACGTGGCCTTTACTTCTTCTTCCTCCTTTTTATTTTTATTATTTTGTATAATTTTATATGTAATTGTTTTGGGTTTTGTTTTTGTAGTATAAAGATTATATTTTTAGTATCAAAACCATATTTTTAATAGTTCAAACTTATAATTTTCAGATTATAATGTTGATTTAATTTTCAGATTTTATAATTTTAAAACCTAGGGTTTTAATTTAATCAAATTGGGATTTTAGGGTTCTAATGAGCAATTAATTTGGGGCTTTTGTTCCTAGTCAATTTCTATTGATTAATTAACCATAAAAACATGTTTTAAAAGGAAGTTTTAAGGACTTTTAATGTAGATAATTGCTAGAAATTTTTGTAAGTATTAATTTGTGATTATTGGTTGTTTTCTAGGAGGTAATTTTTCTCTAGGAGACCTTTAATTAATTAAAAGTGGCGCAAAAGATTGTTTATACGAGGTACGTACATGTCTACTTCGTTGCAAGTAGAATCATGTTTAGGTACCAAAAGGAAAGAACTTAGTTTCATGATTAGAGAACACTTGGATGGAAATTGTTTGGTTATATATTTAATTAATTCATGTATTTATGTTTGTGAGGCATGTTTTGGTGAATTAATTATGCTTGTATGGAATTATGGATGCAAGTATGTGGAATTATATTGGATTAATTGTTTGTATGGAATGTTGATACAAACATATTTTATTGGATTGGTTTGTTAACCACATTTGGATTATTAAAGGATTGGAATTGAATGGTTTAAGTGGAATGAATTTATTAATTATTCCACAAGGTTATTATTATTTATTTATTACTCAATCATAACTTGTTAGTATGTTGAGTAAAGGTGGATTAAGCCGAAATGGCTAGGTGGGATGACTATGTTCAACAATTTTGAATAATTTGGAAGTTTAATTGGAATTAAAGGTCAATTTGTGATGTGATCACCATTGTCCTAAATAAGATTAAAAATGAATTGATGTATGATTGTTATGTATGGTCTTCTTGATTGAGTCGACTATTAATTAAAATTGTAATCACGTAAAGTGAAACTAACATGGATGAGCAATAAAACTCTGGAAAGCGTGCACTTCTAGAGTATTGACAATTATGGGTTGGGGTACACGGTGGTAGCCCGTGGCTTTTCGAGGCTTGTTTGATCAACATGTCCTCTTCTCTTTTGGTACTTACATTTTATTTTATAATGAAAGTTAGATGGGATCCTAGACTAACTTTGTGAGAATAGAGTCGCGCCCATTCTTGCATCGCGCTAAACTTTTATTTCAAATGGTCATTTGGAACCAAAATGATTTGGTGGATTGGACAACCTCGTCTATTGCTTACTCCAAACTAAATAAATTAAATTATATATAAAGAGTCAAGTGTTTGGAATTAGTTCATAAGTATGTTAAGTCAATTAAATTGTTTAAGTGTGGAGTCTTGATTATTGAATTCACATTGTATGTTATTTACTTTAATTAGTTGAGCATGTTAGGTTTTGTGCGTTGTAGCTTGTATGTACTCAGCTTTGCTGATTGCGTGCTTTTGTGTGTGTTTTCTTTGGTCATGGCCTTCGCCTTTCAATGACCCTGTGATGATCCAATTATTACACTTGTATTATTGGGGAGCAGTATTGCACAGGTTAGCTTGATGATGTGAAGTTCGAGATTTGACAATCGCATTGTCAAGGGATGGTGTGATTGAGTGTATTCATTCTTTGTGTCAAACTTATTTATGCTTGGCTATTTTAATTATGTTTTGGGATTTTGAATATTGGTTTGGTTTTAAATAAGGGCCTTATATGGTTCCAATTTGTAAGCTTTGATTTATTGATTTTCTAAACTATGTTATTTTAAAGACTTAAGTTTGATTTTCCGCTGCGATACTTTGATAAAGCCTTAACGTTTTAACACGTGGCGGTAACATGTCAATGGTTCTCCACTATTTTATTTAAAGTAAGTGGTTTGAAAAAGGGAGAATTATTGGGGTGTTACAGTAACACCCTTGTTGATATTTGTTTTCGGTCTGGGATTTCTGCTCGAAAGGAGGTTAACGTTAGGTTGACTGGAGGGAACGGCGGGGCTCTTCGTCCAGCAGATGTGTTGCTTTATTCCTGGGATAAAGGCCTTGATGTATGTGTTGACTTGACGGGGTCTTCACCTTGACACAATCGGGGCTGTCTGACTTCGTTCCCGGTCGTGTTGTGTCTGCGGCGGCTCAGCGGAAGCGGGACAAGTATGAGGCGTGTTGTAGGGAGACTATTGGTTATGGTTTTCTTCCTTTCTCCTTGTCTTCGTTGGAGAATTAGAGAAGGATGTTGTTGCGTTGCTAAAGCGGGTTCAGGTGTTCGCTAAGACTCAGGATATTGGTGCTCGTGCAGCTGCTCACATGTTCAGCAAGATCGGGTTCACTATAGCTAGAGGGGTGGGGGCCCAGATTGTATCTCGGCTCCCCACCAACTTCTTGTAAATTGATTGACTTTGTAGGTTTTTTAATAATAATAATAATAATAATAATTATTATTATTATTATTATTATTATTATTATTATATTATTATAGTAGTAGTAGTAGTAGTAGCTGAGCTAAATGTAGCTGAACTCAAGCCCAAAAGAACAGGGTCTATCTACTTATACTCTCTCCGTGTTATTTTAAGTGTTACACTTACCAAATCCAGCTGTGTTTTAAAGTGTTACACTTCTATTTTTGGCAAAAAGGATACATTAAAATATTATATCTCTCTCCACCCATGTCCCCACCCAAACCCACTACTACTTTTTTATTATTATATCTCTCCTCTTACATTCATTATTTTTCAATAAACTATTAACTCCACTATCTTTCTTTTAGAATTTTTCAATATTCAAATTATCCCATTTACCTCTTATTTTATTTAATTAAGTCAATAAAATTGCCTAAAACTATGTGCCGGTCAAACTGTAGCACTTAAAAAAAACACGGAGGAAATATATCTAAAACTCAAGGCAAACAATTGCTATCTCGCCACGTGTCACTATATCTTCTATCATTATGCCATGTGTCATCCTCATTCTTCAGTATCTGAAGAATAAGGATGAATTTGTTAGTCATCCAATGAATTTAGAAAAGATGGTATTGCATTAACAGGTTAAGAGGCAAGTTTAGAGCAGGAATTTATCTGCACATTCTCTGACGGATGTGAGAGAGCTGAGATCAAGCTTAAGAACATCGATTCGAGCAGATTTATTATCTTTGAGAATCATCTCCTTGGCTTCATTAGCAGCTTTCAAGTTCCTTGCAGCAATTATGACATGGGCATTCCGAAGTGCCAACACTCTTGCTGTCTCCAACCCTATTCCACTTGCTCCTCCTTCACATTTGCAATTTCTTTTTCAGTTTTCAATTCTACTCCAATTAATAAAATGAAATTAAATATAGAAGCACCTGTACTAGGGGAATACAAATAGAAATTTGTCCTTGAACATGTAGTATTTGTCTTCTTCAACTAGCTTACCAAGACATCCTTGATTATTCAGCAAATTTACCAAAAAAAAAAAAAACAAATGGTATATTTCCTCCTATCTTTTTTAGGTGTAATTTTGTTTGATATAATACTATTCATTCACTTTTATTTGATCGTCTTACATAACTAATGGGATCTTGTCAGATAAGTCTCGAAATATACTTAGAAAATAATAACTTTTTACAATTTTTGTTAAACATAATTTAAGATATTTATGTTATAACGCATGCATTGACAATTGTTTTTCTAAAGAAATACATTGGTTTGACAAATATAAAATCAGTATATCACTAACGTTGTGAACATGTATACTTTTTCTTGTGTTACACATTGGTTTGCCCACGTTGAAAGATTTTTTTTTTTTGTTTTCAATCCAATATTCCGTATAAAGCAATTGGAAAGTCTACTCAAATGTACTTTAATCTCAGATATTATTTCCCAAAAGAGTAAAATATAAAGTGATAAGTAAACATTAATGTTACTATTATGTCAACTGTGAGTGTGATGAACTGCTGATAATGACAGCTTCTTGTCTCATGAATTAAACTGATTAGATAGGGAATAGTGACATAATAAATGTACGTATTTTCCAGCTTCCAACCTCCACCCTAATAAATGTACGTATTTTCCAGCTAATTATTTCCAACTCACAAATTACACAAAAACTGTATATGCTAACACTACAAGAAAATAACCTTTTCGTAGCAATTATTTTAACCTTTAGTATCGATTGTAATTGCAACAAAAAGCTTTCCCAATGAATATTCATTCGATACAATATCCCCCGTTGCCTTAGCCTTTAGTAGTGGTTTTCAATATCGTTGGGGTTGACCTCAATAATCGATACGAAAAACTACATCCAATCGTGGTGATTATTGTAGCGATTACAATCTCTATAAATGTTTAACTCATTTTCTTCAAAAAAAAAAAAAAACATGCGTATGATCTTTACAAGATTCGAACATGCAACCTCAAACTCTTATATTAAATGTTTCACCAATAAGTTATGACATATTATATGTATTCTTTGTCAAACAATATTTATACATCTAGTGTTGAAAAGGCTTTTCGTATCGATTTTTAGGATTTAGTGGCGATTGTAAATGATACGATTTCTCAAAATTATATAAATGTGTAAATATAGTGTTGATATGTATTATTATGTTTTCCGTATCGATTTTAAATGGGAAAACCATGGCGATTGTAAAATGATACGACTTCCTTAATTAATTCACAAATAGACTTGCATATTGTAGCGAATGTACAATCACTACGAAATAATCGCTACGAAAATACATTTTTCTTGTAGTGTAAGTTAATTTGTAGGTCCAATACTGGTACTTGGTAGAAGCTCAATTTTGGGATGCAAGTAGTAACTTCAATGTTGCCCCGTCCTTGTGTTATAGAACGAGGGGAGTAGCATTTTTCATGACCTACTTTTCTTCAAAACAACTACCTCATTAAAAATATTATTAATTAGCTATAATAAATTGCGTTAGGAATTTTGTGATGAGTTGTGAAGTATAGATATATATTTTGTTTATACATAAAGTTTCTTCTAATCAAGGTGTATCTATTTATGAGAGATAGAAAGTTACAAGTTTACTAAGTACAATAATCTTACATGATTTATTAAAAGGTAGAGCCATAGAACGGATAGGCCTTCGCTTTACATTAATATTATTTCCAACATTTTTCCGTAAATCTATACACTCCCTAATCTATACTCTCCATATATATATATATATATATATATATATATATATATATATATATATATATATATATATATATATATATATATCAAATGTTCTTGTTGACAATTATTTATTTATATTTATTTTTTTGTTTACTAATTTGTTCCATTAGATTGTTATAATTTTTTTTTAAAATTAAATATAGTTTTAACCAATGTTAGGCAATTCTTATATCAACAATCTAACTTTTGTTTTGATGACAAGAGAAATAAAACAAATAAAATTAATGTTTTTAATGAGAATTATTTAAAAGTTAAATATACCCTGAATCTTTTCAACTGGAAAAAGTAATCAATGTAACAATTACTTCTACTACATACATTACATATTTACATATTGGGATCGTGTAGACCTATGCAGAATTTCAATCCAATATGGCAAATTCTTCTTATGTCATTAAAAAAACATACTCTTTCCGTCTCCTTTTGATAGTACGTCTCTTAGATCATCTCCATGGTGAGACTTAATTTGGTATTGAAATACAAAATGAGTTGTTTTTTTACCTCCAATAGTGATACTATACCCAATTTTCAATTTAGCAACATTCATGTGAAGTCTAATTTTCCAATGGTGAGACACTCTAAAATATACAAATATCACTTTCAATTTATGACCCACCAAATCCATTTTTTTTTCTTTTGTGAGAAGTTGTTTTCTAATTTGTATTTATTTTGAAAACGAAAAAGGTAAAACTTAAATAAATTACAAATATATTAGAATATTGACAAGGGACCCACATTTTTTGGCAAAAGATACTCAAAGTTGAGTATCTAAACTTAGCAACTTTTTTTTGGAGTTGCTAAGTTTAGATACCAACTTATTGATATACATTGCAAAAAATAATCTCTTTCTCCTAAAAATACTCACTTGAGTCTCACCATTGGAGAGAGTCTTATAGACAAATTCTAGTCCCAAAATGTTCACCCTATTTGCTTTTTTCAACAACCAATAATATTAAATTTTTACCAAAATTCCCTCCAATTTGCAATAATATTTGTGCAAATTTAACTTTTCCATGTAAATTTTATTTTCTCATGTATTTTTATTACTTTCTTTCGCTACTTTTTTTTGCATACCCAATGTCAATTTACTTTTTCAATGCATTTTAACTATTCTTATTTGTGTTTATTAATTTCCATGAAAAATGCCCATAAGGGACTATCAAAAAAGGACGGAGGGAGTAATAAACATTTTGTCTTTACGATAGCGTTTGTCGTTATCAATCCCTCGTCAGCTCCAATTCTGGCCATTTACAAGTATGCATAACATCCAATGGATTAGGTGAAGTGTTGTAATTGCCCAAAATAATACTCCTTCGTGTTTTTTTTAAGTGTTTCACTTTTCATTTTCAGTCGTGTTTTTTTAAGTGTCATACTTCTTTTTTTGGCAAAAAGCTACATTAAAATATTACATTTCTCTCCTCTCATGGTCTCCACCGAAACCCACTATTACTTTTTTTTTATTATATTTTTCCTCTTACATTCATTATTTTTCAATAAACTATTAACCTTACTATCTTTCTTTTACAATTTTTTAATATTTTAACTATCCCATTTACCCTTTTTTTTTAAAAAAAAAAAATTACCTCTTATTTTATTTAAGTCAATTAAATTGCCTAAAACTATATGTCGGTCAAAATATAGCACTTAAAAAACATGGAGGGAGTAATAATAATAAAAGA